TAACGAGAATGTGAGATGGAAGTAGACCAGCTAAGAATAATAAAGCTGTAGGAACGATGGAAAATGATAGATTAGCTAAAAACTCAACGATCCCGAGGAATACGCCAAAATCTGAGGTAAAACCAAGGAATTAGAACAAATCGAAAACAATTCAAGTCGGATATCGCCAATGTGATTGATTCCTACTGTGTTGGTAACTATGACTGTAACGGCATTGATGGTATTTTTAGTGCTGAAAATAAATAATATTCTATAATGTATTAGATTTAAATTTATTAAATAAGATAAGAAATGGGTGATATTCGTCACTTCCTGTATAATTTAACGTCACATACATCGCATACAACTGTAGTAATAATCAATATCGAAGGCAAAAAAAAAAGGAAATTTCTAAAGGCATTATCGAAGGAAGATTTTAAATTAATATTTCGCGAAATTAGATGAATGGACAGAATCACACACCAGGATTTACCAATAAAAAAAGGGTGATGAGAATAATAAGACGCCCTTTCAGTTCAAAAAACAATCAATATCATTCCATCAAAAGTTGGCTCAGAATATTATGAACTTAAAGACTTTAACCTAAAAAGTTGTATCAATTATTGTAATAATGATAATGATAATAATGACAATTTAAAACAGTTATTACTTTTTCTAAAACATAAGTTTCTATCTAAATTATAAATTAATAAATGATAATCCTTGTACATCATTTTAATAATAATCATTAACTTTCATACCTTCAATATTGTTTTTGTGATCGAATGGTCCATACTATATAGATGATGATGATGATGATGATAATAATAATAATAATAATAATAACTAGAACTCTGTTAATGTTAAGCTTTTGGCTATATCGGTGGATTCGATCATTGAGCAAAATTCTTCAAAAGAAATTTTTCCATCCATATCTTTGTCAGCCTCCATTATAGTCTTATCGACAATTTGTTGAAGTTGATTATCCTTGAGATTATTACCGACCATCATTTTCAAGACGAGAAATAATTCACCGTTAGATATATACCCATCACGATCCATGTCATATACTTTAAATGCAACTATTTAAAATATAAAGAATGCATTTATAGAATAATATTTATAAGAATAACAATTTGTAGATACAAACAAGCAAATTGTAAATTACTTACAACGCAATTTGTCATCCTTCTTTCCTTTTACGCTAAATGCGCTTAATCCAGATAAAAATTCTTTAAAGTCGACATCACCACCACCGTCCTCATCAAATATAGCAATCATTCTCGACGCAAGTGGGTTACTTGCAATCTGTGGAATGGAGAGAAATTCCTCACGATCAACAGCACCCGAATTATCTTTATCTAGTTTCATAAAACGTTTATAGAGACGTTGGATCTCTGCAGCGGTAACTTTTAATTTTGTGCAAGAGTTCAACGAAATCCCCAAAGTAGAAAAGAGAACAAACGCGTAGACATTAGTTTAACTTGCAGGATTAACAATACTCAGAATTCATAAATTTATAGAGATTGTTACTATAAATTTAGCTTCATGCGTTTTTCCAGGTATAAATACTTTACAATTGCTATTATCGACCATTTTATCTGCCATTTTTTCCAAGAATTAAAGTGATGGAATTGTTTTTCTTCTAATTACTTTTCATTTTTATTGAATTGGGTTAGCTTAAATTTTTTGTGCTGCAAACAATGATGCTAACATGATATTTGGGTAGTTCAAAAAAATAACCCTTTTTATAAAGTTATATCGAGAAGTGCTTTGTCACCCGAAATAATAATAATGGCCGACGCTGAGCTTGAAGCAATAAGACAAGCTCGATTACGTGAATTGCAGGCCCGAGCTGGAGGACCCGTAATACTGAATGTTATAATTTCAAATTTTCTTCGCAAGCATAAAGTAATTTAATTAATTTATTCAATTTTTTTATGGACTAGTCAGTTGGTAGTGCGAAAAGCTCGGAGGAAGAAACTGAGCAAAAACGGTATTAAATTTTTTTTTTTGATTGAATAAATTGTTTGACTAATATTATTGATTGATTTAACATTCGATGATTTTTGATCCTCGTAGACAACAAGAAGAAACTCGACAAAATTTGGTATTTAAAGTTTGATTTTTATGTAACTCGATATTATTATTATTATTATGAAAAATGCAATTGATTTCAATCTCCATCAAGTTGATTCAAATTCTTGACAATGATGCACGAGAGCGACGTATGTTGATTTATTTTATTTCTGGTTTCTCCTCTTGTTCTTGATTAAACCTCGAATAAATTAAGAAATCAATTTCAGTTGCAAGAATTTCCATGGTAAAAGAAGAGAAAGCAAGAGCAGTTGAGGATCTTTTAATTCGTATGGCACAAACAGGGCAATTACGCGGAAAAGTGGGTGAATCACAATTGATAGATCTTTTAGAACAGATTAATCAACAAAAAAAGCCAGAGACAAGAATAGTTGTAAGTGATAAGATTTTTAATTTAATAACATTGCTAAATAATTTAGTTAAATAATTTACTAAACAAAATCAATTTTAGTATAATCGTCGTAATGACTATGATGATTCTGAAGAGGATTATTATAATATATAGTTCCCCCCCTCCCCCACCCCACCCCCACTCCCACTCCACCCCCACTCCTCACTATAGCTCTTTTATTTATTTATTGGATGAGCAGTAAAATGCAGCTCAAAATCCGAGTAACAAGCATAAAAAACCACACTAATGATAAAGAATATCTATATAAAAAAATTTCAACTTACGGCCCTAGTATCCAAGCCATGATAATGTAAAACTTACACCGATTGGAACTGTTAAATTATCAGTTCCTCTTGGGCTGATCGCTTCAAAAGCGGTACTTGCTACGGCAGCAATTATTGAACCGAAAATAATATCCCAATAGTTGTTAAGCTCAGGAGGAGACATTATCATCCAAGTTATTGAGACTGCCAAAAAAGAAGCAATGAAATTCGCTTGAGATCCTTCAAGAGTACGTCTATTATCCCCATCGCCAATAACCTGATATTCATGTTTGCCATATCGTTTTCCAATAATGGCTGCGAAAGCATCACCATAGGTCATGGCCATTATACCCGCTTAATCATCAAAAATCAGTTACGGTAAAAATTTTTTCATGAATTAATCGGATATCGATATATATAGTTAATTACCTATCGCAATATATTCACGTCCACGTGGAAAACCATCTTCCCAACCCTGATGAAACCAGCCAAGCTAATATAAAATAAATTTATGATGAGATTCTAGAAAAAAAACCACCTTGTACACAATTAAATTACTATATTACAAGAAATGCACATGAAAAAGCAAAGTAGACAGTTCCAGGTGTCGCTTGTTGAGTATCTTTTTCGTGAATTCAAATTAAATAATGTTTAAGTGTACTTTTCTTTTTATAATAAAAATAAACAAAAGTTGAATACTGTATATTATTTACCCATCGCTTTAAAAATTCTCATTCGCCAAAATATGGCATTCAACACGACGAAAGATCCCATTAGGAAAACGGTCCACTGCCATTGTTCAAATAAATAAAGCGTCGCCAGCATGTAAGTGCCGGCACCCAAATGAATAATCTTACGAGTTAAGCTGACGGAGGTTCTAGTGATACGCTGATAAATTTCGACAGACCCCAAAAGAAGAGCAGGGTACAAATATGACACTGCGAGGGCACGGAGAGTAGCATTTGTTGGAGTTGGCAAGAGACCCATCATTACATATCAAGAGAGAATATTACAAGTAGATATAAATCAAAAAATGTACAACTACACGTTTAACACGTGCAAGGTGTTCAAGACAAATATTTATTTACATCGTAAAAACAGTTCTATATGACGATTTTCTATAGTTCAAAATCTTAAATCCCAACCAATTTGTGGTCCAAGTTTAGGTAAATTTTCCGCAACCGATTCTACATCTTTATCACCTCTTCCACTAACATTTAACAATATGTCTTGATCAGGCTTCATTTGTTTCGCAAGTTCGATGGTTGTATAAATCGCATGGCTGGTTTCAAGTGCTTTGTTTCAAAAAAAAAAAGATTAACAATTTTCAAAAATTGATCAATTATCAATTATCTCTTACCTGGGATGATTCCTTCTAATTCGGACATTTTTCGGAATCCAATTAAAGCCTGAGCATCAGTGACCGCGACATATTCAGCACGACCAATATCTTTCAAGAATGCATGCTCTGGTCCAACTCCTGGATAATCTAAACCAGCACTAATACTATGTGTCTCTAAAATTTGGCCTTTAGAATCTTGTAGCAAATATGTTCTTGTTCCATGTAACACTCCGGGCGTGCCTGCCACCAAAGTCGCAGAATGCTTACTTGTATTTACACCTGAAAAAAAAATACAAATAATTTAATACAATCTACTATAATTACAATAGTAATTATAAATGATTACCTTCGCCGCCCGCTTCTACTCCAACTATTCTAACATTTTTATCTTCAACAAACGGCGCAAATAATCCAATAGCATTACTTCCGCCCCCAACACATGCAATTATTAGATCTGGCAATTTACCAGCTTTCTTCAGCATTTGGTCGCGAGCTTCTTTCCCAATAACTGATTGAAATTCACGAACTATTTGAGGAAAAGGATGCGGTCCTATTGCCGAACCAACCAAATAATGTGTAGTAGCAACATTAGTCACCCAGTCACGCATTGCCTCATTAATAGCGTCTTTTAATGTTTTACTTCCTATAATCATATGTAACTTTTAATTAGTAAGGTTGATTTATTATAATTCAGAAGGATCAAATATTAAAGAATTTACAACCTGAGTCAACAGGAATCACAGTGGCACCCAGTAATCTCATTCGGAAAACATTTAAAGCTTGCCGACGAACATCTTCACTTCCCATATAAACGGTGCACTCCAAATTAAATTTAGCACAAACAGTCGCAGTCGCGACACCATGTTGTCCAGCTCCCGTTTCTGCAATAATTCTTCTCTTGCCAAGACGTTTAGCTAATAAAGCCTATCAAGAAAAAAAATAATGAATATTAACTAACTAAAGATAAAGCTACCATTTAAATACCTGGCCAATTGCATTATTAATTTTGTGAGACCCAGTGTGATTTAAATCTTCCCGTTTTAGCCAAATCCTCGCGCCACCTGCATGTGCAGTCAAGCGATCTGCGTATTGCAACTGAGATTCTCTTCCAATATAATCATAATAGGATCTGAATTCTTTCCAAAATTCTGGATCATCTTTAGAATCTATATACGCCTAAAAAGGATCATTCTTAGAGTAATAATAATAAAAAGTGATAAAGTATTCCTTTATATTACAACCACTAACTTTTTCTAGTTCAACCAAACAATCAACTAGCGATTCTGGAACGTATTGCCCACCGAATTGTCCGAATCTTGTATCTAAAATATGAATAGCAGCGGCCTATTTAGAAAAGAAATGTTAATTATCTTCATTTTATATTCACGAAGAGTGATGTAAATTCATTTACTTTGGCATCTTCTTCGCTTTCTTGAGCTACTGCAATGTGATCTTCATTTGAGATAACTTAATGTAAAAAAAGCAAATAAATTATATTAATCTTTTTTATATCACTTTAGGATAATTATTCTAGATTATTTTTACCTTTTGTATTATCTTCAATTTTAGACACTCCAGAAATTTCCAAAGCATAATCTTGAATCGTTTTGGCTCTTTTTCCTTTCTCTTTAATGTAAACATATCAATAATTATTCAAATCATAATAAAAGTCAACTCAAAAATATAAATAAAAGCTAACCCGATGCTTTTAATACAGAAATAAACTTGCTTCCAATTACAACACCATCCGCGTGAGATCCAACTAATTCAAAATGTTCTCTGTTGGAAACACCGAAGCCAACTGCAAGCGGTAAATTTGTATATTTTCGAATCCTAGCAATTAAACTCGGTAATTCGGCATTCATCTTCTCTCTTGTGCCTGTGACTCCCATCCTTGACACAACATAAATAAAAGAATCGGCAACATGTGTCAAATGACGAATCCGAATTTCTGTTGTAGAAGGTGCGATCAAAGGAACATAACTTAATCTAAATTTTTTAAATATATTAATTAGAAAGAATACAAGAAAAATATATAATGTTATTATATTGTGTTTACCCATGTTGCGCGCAGATGCTTCGGAAGTGATCTGATTCTTCAGGTGGAAGATCAACCACAATGAAACCTTGAATTCCCACATTTTTGCAATCTTTTACAATTTTTTCCTCTCCATAACTCAAAATCGGATTATAATATCCCATAAAAATCACCGGTATTTTTAATCCACGTTCACGTGCTTGTGAAACGAACGATAAACATAATGGTATATCAACTTTATGCTGAAGCGCAATCTAATTTTTAAAACACCGATCTTCAAGTTAGCAGTGATTTTAATTTTAAAATTAAAAATTAAAAAAGAAAATTGCTAACCTGACTGCTTTCTTGAATTGTTGGACCATCAGCGAGCGGATCGGTGAATGGAATGCCTATTTTCGGTACGAAACCATAATTTGAATATCTCCCTTGTTTTTTTTAAAACTAATTTTTAATTAAAATACAAACCAAGCTCTATAATGTCTACTCCGCCTCTTTCAAGAGCTAAAAGAATGTCTACAATCTCCTCTGGTTCTGGATAACCGGCTGTTATATACGCAACAAACACTGGCCGCTCTGAATTCAAAAGTTAAAAAACATTTATAAATTGATAAATAAAGTGAGACTTTAATTTATTATCTTTACTTAAAGCTTGGCATGTTTGAAATACAGTCCGAAGTTCAGTTGACATAATTTTTTACTGTGATAATAAAGATTTTACAACCTTTATATTTTTGTTTGATATGAAAGATGAGTCATTGATAAGGATAAAATCAGATCTTTTTTTTTGAAGCGAAAATTAAATTGGGTCCGGGATAGTGCGTACACTTACCCAAAAGGGACCAAATATGCGTTTTTATAAGCCACAAGCCACCATACTAACACCTTGTAAATATAGTTAATTCGCGGTCCACGTGCATTCTTAAAGTAA